GGCACTCACTCTAGCCTGGACAACAAAGTGAGACTCTGTCTCAAAAAAAAAAAAACTGATGACAAGACTTGGGTTCTTGGGCCAAAAGAACCCACATGGAGTGCAACAGCTTAAAGAATTGCAGTAAGTAGGAGAAAACAAACAAAAACCAAGATTTAGATTCCTTGTAGTTTTCTTATTTTATTTTGTTTTGTTTTTCTTCAAAAAATGAACCAAAATAGAAGTGTAAAACTGTTGGCTGAGATTTCTTTGTACAAAGCCAACATTCTAAGATTATTATGGGATGAAAGAGGATTTATTTTATTACCTCTGAGAATAAAACAGTTCTTATACTTCTGGAAATAACTGGTAATTCTATAGTCACGGTAATAAATAATTATCGGAACTTGTTTTAAAACTATTTAATTGTTCAATGACAACTCCAGCTCCCTGTGCTGCTCAGAAACAGACTGTGCCATAAACCATAGCATTCCCATGCTTAAGCTAGCGATAAATTCAGCCTTTTGTTTCAGACATTGACTGGTAGTCTCTTCCTTTAACATTTCTTATTTACTTCTGTATGGTTGTTAGTGATATCCTCCTTTTGTTTTCCAATTTTAGTAATTGGAGCCTTCTTTTCTTGGTCAGTCTAGCTAAATGTTTACCAATTTTGTTGATACATTCAAATAACCAACTTTGGTTTTGTTGATTTTTCTCTATTGTTTTTCTATTCTCTATTTCATTTACTTCTGATCTAATCTCTATTATTTCATGCTCACTGCTCATTTGAATTTAGTTTGCTCTTCTTTTCTAATTTCTAAAGATAAAAAGTTAGGTTATTGATTTGAGATTTTTCTACTTTGTGATACAGGTGATTTGCAGCTATAAATTTCCCTCTCTGCACTGCATTAGCTGCATCCCATAAATTTTGGTTTGTTGTATTTTTGTTTCCATTCATCTCAAAATATTTTCTAATTTCCCTCGTTATTTCTTCTCTGACCCACTGGTTATTTATAAGTGTTTTGTTTAATTTACATATATATGTGGACGTAGCATTCAGTGATAGAGCTTTTATCATTTTAAAGATAGCATAGAACAAGTGGACAGTTTATTTAAAACATAAATTGCTTAGAAGCAAAAAAAAAACCTAGTTAAGAAAAATAAAAGTTTTGAAAGGTGAAAGTGAAACTAGATAAAGTTGAGAAAGGTAATTCTGGGAATATATTTTGAAGAAAACATAAGGAAAGAATAAAAGGAATTACACTGAATCATGCTATTTGAAATATAAGCAGAAAGCACAACATAAGAATTTAGTATTTTATTTACCATCAATTAATTAATGTATTAATTAATTATGTATTAATCGATACATGTATTAATGTAGTAATGTATTAATTAATTAATGCATTAAATTAAGACAGAAGAAATAAATATCATTCTTGTAATGGAAGTAGGGTCTCATGACTGCAAAATGACTACATAAGTATCACTATGTGCAAGTAATAATTGAAGTTAGTTTTAGAGCTCAACATTTTATTTGAGTTTAGAAGTGTTTTAAGCTAGCTTTTCCAATCTTAGAATTTAGCTTTTTATCTTTCTTCTTCCTCCCCCTCCCAGCCACATGGAGGTATAAAATATAGCACATAATCAGCTTATGATATACGTACTTAATATCTGAATGAGACCTTATGTCATTTAGCTAACAGTTTTAATTTTCTTTACCAAGAAGTTCAGGTAGCCATTTGTGAGAACAGGTAAATGATTAGTTTTTTTTTAAAAAAAAATCAGATCATTGCTGCCTATAGAACAAGTTGGCTTATGTAATTATCCCAATGTTCGGTTTACAAAAGAAAAGCCGCACTGGAGAGAATCAGTAAAATTAGGACCATTATTCAAACAAGTTATGACTCAGGATGAGTACTGCACTCTGAGGTAAAAATGAGATCAATTTTATTAAAGTGTTTTCCTGACGTAAGTGTGCCTCTTCTGAGTTTAATGTGAGAGGCCTCCTCAGACAGCAAACCTAACTCAGGTGGGACTTGCTGCCGTCAGATGCATCCTGTAAGTCCCTGCTCTGCTCTTTCACCTCTGCTAGATGACTTTTTCACACCTTCTCTTCTCCCCTCAACCCACCCATGTGTCTTCCCCTTGCCGCTCCAGCAGCAGGTGGGAACTCCCACCGACCGGCCTCTGCACCCACCTTCCACCTTCCTGCCCACAATCACAGGTGAACTCTTTGTGCTCCTACCTAAAGCCAGTCCCACCAACCATTCTTCTGTCTCTCCTCCACCACCAAATTTTGCTACTGAATCATTCCCAACAGTGTACAAATATGCTGTTATTTTTCCCATCGGAAACGAAAATTTTATCTCTCTGTACTGCTAAGTTTTAAAAATCAAAGTGCACAACAGTACTATAGTATGCTACCATTTCTCTAAGAAAGAGTGGAAATATACCTATATAGTTCGTAATATAGCCACATTTACATATCATATATATGTGCATATATGTGTAAATATATATATTTGCCTTTATTAAAAATGGAAAGAAAAAATTTAAAATGAATGAAAATGGTTCCTTTAAAGGAATGCAACAGGCAGAGGAAGCAGGAATGGAGGCTGGATTTCACCAAAAATGCCTTGTTTCATAATTTTGACTTAAAATTGTTATAATTGTGACTTTAAAAATTATATGTGAAGGTGCTCATTATTATTTGCTGAGATTCTCACTCCGCTAATAACTGTGCTCCAAGTTCTGCTTAAGTGCTGCATCTTTCTCACAGTTTGCTGAGGACTATTTTCTTCCCTCTAAAAGTATAACAGGAAAATGCCCCTGCCTGCTCCATCCTCTTTTCTGAGATTGGTTTTCTGCTCTGCCAGTTTGGGGGGCACTGTCGTTCTGCCCATCCCTGCTCTCACCAGGTTCTCTTTTCACCTGTGTGATTCCTGAAGGGAACTGAGTGGTAAAGTCCTTTGGGTTTAACTGAGCGAAAACTCCATTTCTGGGTGGGAGTATCCAGGCTAAAAATCAGTCCCTCATAATAGGCAGCAGCACGGAGGCCACCCTGCATTCTGGTGGCACTAGAATTAAACCTCTCTTCTCCCACAGGAGCAGCTCAGGGCTGCTTCTGTTTAATCAGCCCACATTCACCATATTGTTAATGCCATGAGGATGCACAAAGAAGCAGTAGCAGGTGCCATAGGTTAAAAACATCTGTGGGAGCCATGTTCACCTTGGATGGAACATCACCCTCTGTGCTCCCACCACCCCCGGCCTTCCCTCTGAAACGGCACCTCCCACACGGTGCTATTTGCACCCACATCTGTCTCCCTCACTAGATCGTGTGCATCTTGAGGGCAGCAACTGTCCCGATATATCTCTGTATCTCCAGATTCTCCTCACGGTATAGCGCCTCCCGAATGCTCAGCAAGGGCTTCTTGAATGAGTGAACTCATGGGAAAAATGATATTGAGCAGCTTGACGCTTACTGTGAATGTGAACATCACCACCCTCCATTGCACCCATGCGAGGACTTGGACCAAACACTGAGAATGACCGTTACAGCCTCTGCCCAATGGAATGACACCTTGTAAGAGTTTTTAATGAAATATATGTTCATAAAGAACAAAACTATATAAAACCTATTATACAGTCTGATTTTAAAGCCAACCCCCATGTCATCATCACCAGGAGAGAAGGAAACATTGACAACAGCTCATAGCCGCCAGTACCCTTCCCTGGGTACAGCCCCTCCCACTCCTACAGCAGTCGCCGTGATTCTGATTGTCATTGTCAATATTCTCTTTTATTCGCAGCTTGTGACTGCTATATGTGTTGACAAAATACTATAGTTTTGGTTTTAAACTTTATAAAACTGCAATCATATTACTGTATGTATCCTATCTAGTCCTGATTCACTTGCTCAACACTGTGTGAGATTTCTCCATGTTGTTACACATCTATGTAACTCCTTCCCTTTTATTGGCATATAGTGTTACATTTTATGAATGTTTCACCAATTAGAGAAATGCTATGCTGCATCATGGAGTACATGCCTTCAACATCACAGGATAAAGTGATACAGTGTTTTCCGAAGTGGTTGTACCAATTAATACTCTCACTATCAATGCTGGAGGGCTCCATTGGCCCAAATCCTCACCAACTGGGGCATTATCATGCTTCTGTATTTTAGCCCATTAGTTTCCAGTGGCATTTACTTATTGTTGTAATTTGCACTTCTATTACTAAGAAGGTTGAGCACTTTTTCTCATGTTTATTGGACATTCTCTCTTGTGAAGTACTTTGCTGATTTTTCTAATGGCTTGACTATCTTTTCCTCATTGATCTGACTCCTGAATCCTTCAGTTGGTTGTATGAATTGCAAATAACTTCTCAACCTGTGGCTAACCTTCCACTCTCTTTTTGGTGTCTTTTGACAAATAGATTCTATGTTTTGAATGAGATAAAAGTTACAAACAAGGATGTCAAAGCAGCCATCATTATCCAAAGCAGTCAATGTTATACTATTTTTCTTTTAGGCTTAGAATTTTTAAATCTTGTTTAAGAAATATTTCCCCATTCCAAATTTAGGACTATAATCTTCTATATAATTTTATAGTTTTGCCTTTCACATTGAAGACTTTAATGGGGTTGGTTTTTTTGTTTCCTTGGGGTAATGGACAAATTCAATTGATTGACCTATGGATACCAGATAGTCTCAATACCGTTTATTATATGTCCATCTTCCATACTGTCTAAAATGTCATTTCCTTCATATATTGAATTATCTGTATACTTATGAGTTTATTTCTGGGCTGTGTATTCTGTTTCATTGATCTATATGTCTGTCCATGTCTTAATAACTTACCTCTTTGTATTCTGACCTTTATTTTAGCCTGATTATATTGAATTTTTTCTGATGCTTTTAAGAATATTTGTTTCATATTTTATCTGATATTTTTATTTCTTTCCACACAAGAATTGATTTTATAACCTAGCTTCTAGTTAGTGGATGTGGAAGCCCCAGTGGTATATTTTTGGTACTGCTGTAAGCCATTCTTCCTTCAAAAAACTTTTTTGATGGTGTTCTCTGTTCTTCAAGAACTGGTATCCTTGGAGCAGCATTAGCTACATCTAATGATCAAGGGCTCCCAGAATGCCCTGGGCCTTGGGGACATGCAATCTTGGTGATGGCTGCTTTGACGTCCTTGTTCCTCAGTGTGTAGATGAGAGGGTTGAGAACAGGTGTGAGAATGGCGAACACCACATTGCCCATGATGTGGAAGTCAAGGGGCAAGTCGGCCCTGTAGGCCACATAGGCGATGGCAATGGATGAGTAATAGGTGCCCACCACCAGGAGGTGGGAGCTGCAGGTGGAGAAGGCTTTGGACCGTCCTTCTCGGGAGCTGATGCGAAGCACCGAGGCCAGGATGCGGGTGTAGGAGAGGAGCACCAGGAGAAGGGGGAGGAAGGACACCACCATGGCGATGCAGAAGCCCATGAAGGTCTGGGGGCTGGTGTCAGAGCAGGAGGCCTGGACCACAGCCAGATGGTCACAGAAGCAGCTGTATATGTGGACAGTGCTGTCAAATGCCATCTGGGAGGTCTGTACCACTGCTGGGATGGGCAGGAGGAGGGCGATGAGCCAGGCACTGGCCGCCAGCATTGCATTGGTCTGTGGGGTCATGAGGACAGGGTAGCGCAGTGGGCGGCAGATAGCCACATAGCGGTCATAGGCCATGACCACCAAGATGAAGGCTTCAGAGCAGGAGAAGCTGTGGAACAGGTACATCTGCAGGAAGCATGCAGGGAAGCTGAGGATGTGGTCCCTGAATAGGAGGAGGGACAGCATCTTTGGGACAGTGGATGTGGTGTAAAGGATGTCTAAGGCAGAGAGGTTGATCAGGAAGAAGTACATGGGCTTGTGGAGGCTGGGCTCTGCCACCACAGCCACCAGGATCAGGGCATTACCCACCAGGATGAGCAGGTAGAAGAGCAGGAAGATGAAGAAGACAGGGAGGAAGAGGAACTCCTGTAGGGATGGGATGCCCACCAGGTAGAAGATGGGTGCAGTGTCTTTTGATCCATTACAGGCTGTAGCAGCCATGGTGGCACAGAGCTGGATGCCAGGGTGACAGGCAGCCGGCACATCTGGAAGCCAGGAAAACCAGGAGCTTGAAACAAGAATTTGTGCAGTTCACTAAACAATTATTGCAATTTGAATCATTTACAACCAAGTTTAGAGGGCTGGTGGTGGCATTCAATATGGGTTATTCCATCTGACCCACAATTCAGTCCTTCCTCCTTCCATTGAATATTTGGGAAGTCTCTGTAGTGTGCACAGCTATGAGAATATAAACAAAGCATTCAAGACCCCTCTGTCAGAGGGCTTAAATTCTATGGGAAGGATCGTACAGTTAAACACCAATCGCACAGCAGATGATCCAGTCGCAACTGGAGTCCGTGCACTGAGAGCGTGCCACAGCCCACACTACCTTTTGGGCATCAGATCTTAGATGATCTCGTAGGTCCCTACACTCCTGTGTTTTCTTTTACATTTGCTTAAAGTACTAAGTGACATCCCTGTCACCATATCACTAGGGAAGGTTGGTTTTTCCAAGGTTTTCTGCAACATGCTGCCTGCCTCTTCTACCCATTATCTGAGTGCAGCAACTCTGCCTGCCTCTCTCTGCTGAGTTCTCTGGGTACCCTCCTCTCTGTGTGGGGGCCTCTCAGGCTTCGACGATGGGGGGGGGCGGGTGCAAATATTTTCTGTTGGAGAACTCACTGCTGATAGAGCCTAAGCTGGAGGTAGACCTTCCCGCAGTTGCACCAAAGTAGCAACTCTGGGCTCATCCTGGGTCACTCTCTTACCTTCCTTCCTGCTGCCCAGCCCTGCAGGTGTCCTGCTAAGTCACTGCATGCTCACTCTTCTGTCTGCTCCACCAGCTCAAAGCCACAAGGAGCAGTCCTGAGAGCCATTGTTGCTAGAAAGGACCCAGAGAACTGAAAGCTATAGCTGCCCAAAAACAGTGTCAGAGGCTGTCCTGAAAACCTTGACATGTGTTGACTGCATGTGAGCTCAGGTGGCCTGGCGTGGATTGGAGCTGAGGAAAATACTGGCTGGTCCTGCTTCAGGAAGAGTCTCTGGCGGGTGGTCTACATAGCTTCAAGTTTACATCCACATCGCTGGTCTTTGAACTCCAGTGATTCCATGAGCAGTTTTTCTTTGATTTCCCTGAAACTACATCTATATTCCCTCTTTTCTAAGACAAAAGCAAAGCAAACAAATGAACAAGCAAAAAACCCTCTCGTGTCCTGGAATCACAGAATGTTAGAACTGAAAAAAGGTTGGTTTTTTAAACAATTTATTTTTAATTTCAACCTGACTCCCCTTCCCCAATTTCCCAACCATTTTTTAAAAATTCCCTGGTTTGCTCTGTTATTGATTTGGCCTGTGCAGCCCGGTTCCGAGGTTTGCAAGGAGTGACTGGCAAGTGCTTTGTCTAGAATGCTTTGCTTGTCTAGTGCTTGTCTAGTGCTTTGTCTGGGACAGAGGACCCTCCCGTGTGTGTTCTTTGAAAGAGAAGCTCAAGAATGGAAAAATAAGCACCACATGTACTCCCCAGCAAATTGCTATTAACTGATCAACACCTAGGTGGACATATAGGAATAACATTTATCAGGTGTGGGGTGGGTCGGGGGGTTGGGGAGGGGATGGGTATACACATACATAATGAATGCAATGCACACCAACGGGGGGATGGACATGCTTGAAGCTCTGACTCGAGGAGGGGGGCAAGGGCAATATATATAACCTTAACATTTGTACCCCCACAATATGTTGGAAAAAAATTTAAAAAATAATAAAAAACAAAAAAACAAAACAAAACAAAGGATACCACTCATTGGATTCTGGTCCACTTTAATCCATTATCACCTCATCTTGATTTACATGTACAAAGACCCTTTTTCCAAATAAAATCACATTCACAGGTTAAGTTCCTTGTGGATAATTGATTCCCACTGGAAGCTTTCTCTGTTTGGGGTTGGAGTGACCAAAAGATGTTTTCCTTAGGTAAATAAAAGGCTCTGGTAGTTGAGCCACCAAAAAAAAAAAAAAAAAAGAAAAGAAAGAAAGAGAAGTTCAAAGGCCACCCCCATGAACAGAACAAGGGTTGATCCTGGATTGTCACCATTTTAAAGGATGAAACCTCAGTCACCCAGAACCCCATCCCAACAGATTCAGTAGCTAGTTTGTCCTCACACTCAAAGGGACACAAACTGCACTGCCCTGGGCACTGCTGCACCCAGAGAGCCAGTCATGGCCCACGGTCCCCACCTTAGGCTGAGTTGGGGATCTGAGGGAAAGAAACAAAGAGAGTCAAAGCCAGAGGGGCCCAAAGAGCCCACCAATTCCAGCTGCCTCTCCTTCTCCCTCCTCTGCCCACGGCTTTGCAGATGGAGACACGGATGCTGAGACCACAGCGGAGAGGTGGTGGCCTGTGACTTTGCACAGCCGGGCGGTGCTGCACCTTCCAGCAGGCAGGCCAGGCTCGGGTCACCCGCAAAGCAAGGCACCAAAAATACTTCAGGAAAGAATTTAACTGTTGCTACTTCAAAGCACCATTCAACTGGCCCATCACAGGAAATATTAGAATTTGGCAGGACTTTCTTACACTGATTTTACAGATTAAAATTCTTGTTTTATTTTCAGGGATATGCAACCTCTATGTCATGCAGTCCTATATTTACAGCCAAAAGGACACTGTTTTTAAGAGCATGGAACTTGTCCCAGCGGATATTCCCTGTCATCTAGTTACAGTGCTGGTGGGGGAGAGAGAACGACAGAAAACCTGTCACCCCAATGTCCAGCCTGCATGCTATGCACGTCCCTCCCTTCATCACACACCTCTGCCAGTGGGTGGTTACACCCCTTCAACTGACAAAGAAACTGAGGGTCAGAGAAGGACAGGTCCTCGTCCAAGGCCCTGGCTGGTGAGGGGTGAGAGCAGAGCCCACCTGCTGCCAGGGACTGAGCCCCACCTGGCAACCCAAAGTCCTGGCTCCTGGACCAACCCTGCCACTCCCTGGCTGTGCCTTCGGGTCTCTGAGTCATGGTTTCTCATCTGTACAGTTAGGAGTTGGAGAAAAACATCTCTGAGGAGTTTCCAGTTCAAGGAGCCATTTTCTGAGTGTCCCCTCTGAGTGTGGCAGAGCAGGGGGTGAAAAGACAGGTGTCACGAGGTCCAGCCCCTCCCGGACAGGGCGAGGGCGCTGCCGCTGAGTGAGCACTTGCTGCTAACCAGGCTCTTCACCTTCATCATGTTATGGGCACCTGAGTGTGTGGACTGGGGAGTCTGTCCTTGCCCTGCCTCCAGCTCTGTGACCTTGAGCAAGTCTGTTTCCCCTCTCTGAGCCTAACCCCCTCATTTGTGATCCCACAGGGTTTTCTTTATGTGGAGAATGCTTAGACACGCTTACACAGAGCCTGGTGCATGGAAGAGCTCAAGGTTTGCTCGTGTTTCCTGTGGTTCCTGCCATCATCAGCTTCGTCTTCCCATGGGAAGGCCTTGCCCAAGCTGATTTGGACCCCATTTGTGAGTGTGTACCATTGCTCAGGCCTGCCAGGATGTCCTGCTGAAGGTCTCACAGCCTACGCATGCTCCTGGATTCTGGGCACCTGCCAACCTGGATCCTAGCATCTGTCCCTGTGTTCACTCAATCTGTCTTTCTGGATCCCTAGCCCAGGGTCTACATCTCCCACCTCTCTGCGCCTATCCCCCAATCCCAGTCTTTGCTGATCTTTGAGCTCTTTACCCCCATCCCACTCACCTGCCAAGTCCTGCCCAGCCTGGTGTCTCCCGTGGTGTCCCCTTTGTGCCTCCACCCTGGCCTCACAGGGAAGAGCTGTGGCCCATGAAACCCTTTATCCCTCCTTCAGCCAGGCCGCTAGGGCCCTCACCCTTGGGCACTGTATCCCCCAGTGCCCCACTATCAACTTCTCCGCCCCTCCCGGAGCATGTGTTGGGAGGAGACTTGCCCCTGGGATTTGCTAGTAATGAGAACAGCATTGTTAACAGCCCTCCTGGGTTGCAGAACTTTATAACACATGGGGCAACTTCTATTGACATTACTCCATCTGGTCCTCAGAACAGCCAGGGGAGAGAGACAGCCCAAGGGGTGGAAACTAAGGCCCAGGAAAGTGAAATGACGTGCCAAATCTAACACGGATGTTTCATATCAGGGCTGAAACTCAGTCCTAGGGCCTCATTCCCAGGCCTGTGCTCTGCAGTATTCATTCATTAGTCGTTAAGGGTATAGAGTCTAAAGTTAGAAAACCCTGGGTTTGAGTATCAGTTGTAATATATTTTAGACAAGTTAGTTAACCTCTCTAAGTCTGAGTTGTCCCTTCCACAAAATGAGGAAGACCTTTTCGGGCAAGTTCTGTGCTATGGAAAACAGTGTCCTTTTGGTTCCAAGCATAGGTCTGTATTACTTAGATGTAGTGTGTGATTAAAAATAAAACAAGAACCCTACTTTGTAAAATAAATGTAAGAAAGTCCAGCCAAATTCTAATATTTCCAATAATGGACTACTTGAATAGTGTCTTGAAATATCAAAAGTTAAATTCTTTCTGGAAGTAGTTTTGGTGATCTTGCTTTGGCCAAGCATGTGCCTGGCCAAGTCACCCTGTCCACCTGGTTGTTTAGTGCCTCTTTTGCTGTGAATGCTCTGAGAATTGAGCTTTCTCCAAAGAGCTAACACTTTTGCAATTAAGCCTTTTGCTTAGTCTTCAGCTCAGTCTGCCCTCTGCAGGGGGGCTGTCAAGGAGATTCGCTGACTCTTACACTTTGCTTTGTTTTGGGGATTAATAGATCTGAGTCTGTTGTTGTCTATTTACCCTTCAATACATCAATGTCCTTTAGCAACATCCAGCAATTCCACAGTTTGCATTTCTGCCATACCTCTAAAACACCCAAGAGCGCATGAGCTGTTGCTTTCCCTTTATCTAGGTCCCACCAGTTACCACAGGTTGAAAGGCTTAGCAATCACACTGCTATAGCGTAGGCAACCATGTGTTTGCCATCAGTGATAAGGTCCTCATTGCCATCCAGATAGTAAGTTATCCAATTGCAGAATCTTATCCTTTGAGTCTGTTTTCTAGAACAACTCCTGGCACCAACTGTCTTGGGTTGGGCTTCTCAGAAGCAGAGCCAGAGAAAGAGATTCTTGTAAAGTGATTTACTGTGGGAGTGCTCTCAGGTGCAACCTGTAAGGGAATGAGGGAGGAAGGATAGGGCAGGAGAAGTTAGGCAAAGATGAGTTTCAGCTGAAGGTGAGCCTGATTCCACAGGTGCTCTGGAATATGAAAGGCACTACAGTTGTCCTACCTTTCATATCCCCTTATCAGTTAGTCAGGCTGAAATGAGGCACTTCAAAACCCCCATACTTCCCGCACCATAGTGTCAGAGAATTAGCTGACAAATGTTTTAAAGCAGCCATTATAAAAATGCCTCAATGAGCAATAACAAACACACTGGAAACAAATAAAAAAATTAGAAAACCTCAACAAAGAAATAGAAGATGTAAATAAAAATCAAATGGAAATTTTAGGGCTGAAAGTTATAATAAGCAAAATAAAAAATTTAATGGATAGGCTCAACAGCAGAAAAGAAAGACAGAAGGAGAATCAGTGAAGAGGAAGATAGAATAACAAAAATTACCAAATTTGAACAGAGATAAGTAGACTAATTAACAAAGCTTCAGGGACTTGTGGAACTGCAACAAAAAATCTAGTGTCGAGTAGCTGGGGCCTCCAGCGGCCGGGGAGGAAGCTGCTTGCGGGAGCCTCTGGGACGTACGGGCCGAGCCGGTCGCTGGTTGGTGCTTGGACCTCGGCCCCGGCGGCGGGTCCCTCCACGTGCTTTCGGCGGCGACATGGAGCTGGAGGAGTTGGGGATCCGAGAGGAATGTGGCGTGTTCGGGTGCATCGCCTCAGGAGAGTGGCCCACTCAGCTGGACGTGCCCCATGTGATCACTCTGGGACTCGTGGGGCTGCAGCACCGGGGTCAGGAGAGTGCTGGTATCGTGACCAGTGATGGGAATTCAGTACCAACATTCAAAACGCATAAGGGAATGGGTCTTGTAAATCACGTTTTTACTGGAGACAATTTGAAGAAATTATATGTTTCAAATCTTGGAATTGGACACACGAGGTATGCCACTACAGGAAAATGTGAATTAGAAAATTGTCAGCCCTTTGTTGTTGAAACACTTCATGGGAAAATAGCTGTGGCACACAATGGCGAATTGGTAAATGCTGCTCGATTAAGGAAAAAGCTTCTGCGACATGGTGTTGGTCTGTCAACAAGTTCTGATAGTGAAATGATTACCCAGTTACTAGCATATACCCCTCCACAGGAACGAGATGACACTCCAGACTGGGTAGCAAGGATTAAAAACTTAATGAAGGAAGCACCCACAGCATACTCCCTGCTTATAATGCACAGAGATGTTATTTATGCAGTACGAGATCCTTATGGAAATCGTCCTCTATGTATTGGTCGTCTTATTCCAGTATCTGATATAAATGAGAAAGAGAAAAAAAGATTAGAAACAGAAGGATGGGTGGTGTCTTCAGAATCTTGTAGCTTCTTATCCATTGGTGCAAGATATTACCGTGAAGTCTTGCCTGGAGAAATCGTGGAAATATCCAGACATAATGTGCGAACTCTTGATATTGTATCAAGGTCTGAAGGAAACCCAGTGGCTTTTTGTATATTTGAATATGTTTATTTTGCAAGACCAGATAGTATATTTGAAGACCAAATGGTTTATACAGTAAGGTACCGCTGTGGTCAGCAGCTGGCGATTGAAGCACCCGTGGATGCGGATTTGGTTAGCACTGTTCCGGAATCTGCTACACCTGCTGCTCTTGGTTATGCAGGAAAGTGTGGACTTCCATATGTGGAGGTGCTGTGTAAAAACCGATACGTAGGAAGAACCTTCATTCAGCCCAACATGAGGTTAAGACAACTTGGTGTTGCAAAAAAATTTGGAGTATTGTCAGACAACTTTAAAGGCAAAAGAATTGTTCTTATAGATGATTCAATTGTGAGAGGCAATACCATCTCACCTATAATAAAATTGCTCAAAGAATCTGGTGCAAAAGAGGTACACATTCGAGTAGCCTCACCACCAATTAGATATCCATGCTTCATGGGAATAAACATTCCCACAAAAGAAGAGCTCATTGCCAATAAACCAGAATTCGATCATCTTGCAGAATATCTAGGAGCAAACAGCGTTATATATCTGTCAGTAGAAGGATTGGTTTCATCTGTACAAGAAGGGATAAAATTTAAAAAGCAGAAGGTGGAAAGGCAAGATATTATGATTCAAGAAAATGGAAATGGTCTGGAATGTTTTGAAAAGAAAGGTCATTGTACAGCTTGTCTCACTGGAAAATACCCTGTAGAATTGGAATGGTAGCTGTTAGGGGCAGATGTATCATTTCAAGATATAAAGTTGGTCAAGAAGTTACAGTGGTTACACCTTATCTGTTTACTGTTGCTCTGTTGGTACAATATAAAATGCCACATGCTTACGTTATACCTTTACATGTTTTAAGATTATTTTGAAAAGGGTACCAAAGTGCTATAATTGAACCTTGCTAATTGTATATAATACAACAACATGTGGTATTCTTTTTTTACACAAGCATTGGCTAGTGTTTTGTACCTGATCAGAAAAGGCAGGTGGTAAGTGACATTTGTCACCTCCTTGCTTTAAAAGGTTTGCAAGAGGTTAGACCTAAGATAGGAGGTGTGATGCAAACAGGACAGGTGAGTTAAATATAACATTTCCTGGGAAGTTTGAATCCATTATACACTGTAGGTGTCTAGCCTTTACAGTTCTGGCTGTAGTTTTGACATTGGCTTCACTGTCTAACCTTAAACAAAACTTACTATATATATAAAAAAGATCTTTTGTGCCTCAGTTTCCCCACCTGTGCAATGGGGTACTTTTATTATTAAATAACTAATAGGAATGTGAATAAATTTCATACTTTAGTGTTAGAGCCATCATTTCACCCCCAAATTTTAAGATAGTACATGATTATTAGCTTTTGAAAAGCTAATGATTATTAACCTTTTTGAGATTAATTTGCAATTATGATTTTGTTATGATGGAGGGAGACATAGTTTGGTGGGTCTTTGCCATCTGTCTTTGAGATACCCCAAGAATGGTTATAAAAATCTGTCTGTGGAAAAGTTTTTCCTACATTTGACTAGAGAGTGTGATCCATAATACTTAGTACCCTAATAGAAAAGCTCAGGAAGCGACCTAGTACATTTGAAATAAAAACCAAATTTTTAGATTCAGAAAAAAAAAAAAAAAAATCTAGTGTCATTGGAGTCCCAGAAGAAGAGGAGAAAGAAGGTAGGGCTAAAAAGTATTTAAAGAAATAATGACTGAAAACTTCTCAAGTTGGGCAAAGAACATAAACCTATAGGTTCAAGAAACTAAGTAAGCCCCAGATAGGATAACTCCAAAGAAATTCACATTAACACATACTATAGTCAGAGTTCAGAAAACTAAAGACAGAGAAGAAATCTTGAAAACAGCAAAAGAGCAATGACACCTTACCTGTAAGGGAAAAACATTTAAGTGACAGCAGATTTCTCATATTTTCTCAGATTTCTGAGAAACTATGGAAGCCAGAAAGAAGTAGAACAACATTTTTCAAGTTCTAAAAGAACTGTATAGCCAATAGTTCTATATCCAGCAAAATATTCTTTGCTAATATAAGAAAAATCAAGACATTCTCAGATGAAGGAAAACTAAGAGAATTTGTTGCCTAAAGATCTATCCTAAAAGAATGGCTAAAGAAAATTCTTTACACATAGAAGAAATGATAACGGACTCTTGGGACATCAGGAAGAAAGAAAAATGAAAAGAGTTAAAGTATTGGTAAATACATATTTCTTCATCTCTTGAGTCTTCCAAGTTTTGTTTGACAAGAGAAGCAAAAATTATAAGCACTGTCTGATTTGGTTCTAAAGGTATAGAGGAAATATTTAAGATAATTATAAAAGTAGGAGTAAAAAGGGAAGTAATGAAAGTAATGTTTCTATGCTTCACTTAAATTGGTAAAATGTCAACATCAATAAATTGTAACGGGTTATTTATATATAATGTAATACTTAGAGAAAACACTAAAAATGCTACACACAGAGATGACACTAAACAACTCTAACTCTGTAGATAATCAAAATGGGATTCTTAAAAAATCTTCAAGTAACTCACAGGAAGACAGGAAAAAGAAAACAGAAATGAAAAAAAAAAAGAACAAACAAAAATCTAAAATGGCAGACTGAAGGCCTACCATATCAATAATTACACTAAAAGTAAATAGTCTAAATAAACCAATTAAATGATACAGATTGGCAGAGTGAATTTTTAAAAATGACATGCTACCTATAAGAAACCCTCTTCAAATGCAATAATATAGGGAGGTTGAAAATAAAAGGATGTAGAAAGGTATATAATGGGAACATTAATTAAAGGAAAGCAGGAGCTATAGTAATATCAGGTAAAGGTGACTTAAGAGCAAAGAAAATTATCAGAGATAGAGAGGGAAATTACATAATGATAAAATGGTCAATCTACTAAGAAGACAAAGCAATCCTAAACATGTATGCACCAAACAACGGAGCTGCAAAAGACATGAGGCAAAAACTGATAGAACTGAAAGAAACAGATCCACAATTATGGTTATACAATTCAATACCTCTCCCTCAGCAATTGATAGAACAAGACAGAAAATGAGTAAGAATATAGAAGAGGTCCACAACATTACAAACATCTAATGTGACATTTCTAGACCACTCCACCCAACAAGAGCAGAATGCACATTCTTTCCAAGTTCCCACAGAACATATATGAAGATAAGCCATATCCTGAGCTGTAAATCAAACCTCGGCAAATTTAAAAGAACTGAAATCATACAAAATGTGTTCTCTGACAACAATGGAATCAAATTAAAAATCAATAACAGAAAGATAACAAGTGATTTCCAAGCACTGGAAATGAAACAACATACTTCTGAATAATCCACAGCTTAAAGAGAATGTCTCAAGATAAATAAAAAAGAAACATTGAACTGAATGAAAATGAAAATATAATATATCAAAATCTGTGACACACAGCTAAAGTAGTGCTGAGAGGGAAATTTATAGTATTAACTGTTTATGTTATAAAAGCAAAAAAGGTTCAAATTAATAATTCTAAGCTTCTACTTCAAAAATCTATTAATTTAAAAAAAGAGCAAAATAAACCTAAAGCAAACAGAAAGAAGAAAATAAAAAAGATAAGCATATAAATGAATAAATTTGATAATAGAAATTACCAAATAGAGAAAATCACTGAAATAAAACTGGGTCTTTGAAAAAAAAATCAGTAAATTAATGTACTTTTAGCAAGACGGACAAAGTAAAAAGAGAAAAGACACAAATAACCAATATTGGGGATGAAATAGGGGTATCACTATGGGCCCTGCAGACACCAAAAGAATAATAAGGGAATGCTAAGAATATAACAACTGTACATAGAAAAATTTGATAAATTAGAAGAAATGGATCAATAACCCAAAAAGCACAAACTGCTACCCCTCACCTAATATGAAATAGATTGAATACCCTTATAACTATTAATGAAATTGAATTCATAATTAAACAATTCCCAAAAATGAAATCTCCAGGCACAGATGGTTTCAGGGGAGAATTTTATTAAAACACAATCTCTTCCCAAAAACAGAAGATGCAGGAACACTTTGCAATTCATTTTGTGAAGCTAATTAATATTACTCTGCTATGACAGGCAGATAAAGCCAATATAATATAATATAATAATAATATAATATATAATAACAATTTAATATTACTCTGCTATGACAGGCAGATAAAGCCAATACAAAAGAAAATTACGGACTAACATTCCTCATAAATATAGACATAAAAATTTTTAACAACATATTAACAAATGCAATTCAGCAATATAGAAAGAATTATATATCATGACCAAGTGGAGTTTATTCCAGGGATGCAAGGCTGGTTCAATACTCAAAAATCACCACTCCCTGTAACCCCTCCTCATCCCAAAGCAAAATCAGAGAACTCACCCAGTACCAATATCTTTGTCCAAGTTTCAATTCCTGTCCAAAATCTGCCTACCTTTGTTCAATCTTCGGATCCTTCAGGACGACCCTATCTTTTATAGTTTAACCAGCATTTGTAGTTTCTGTGTTGGGAAGAGTTGGCTCGTTAGAAGCTCACTCTCCCGTACTGTAAAAGGAGTTCCTCTCACTGATTTTTATTTATTTTTTTGTCATGGGCTCCAACAGGATCATCATATCACTATAAATAATTCTCCTTGGAGTCCTCTTAAATTCCTCTTCTTTCCAGCCTAACCTAAATGTCAGTAAACTTTTTCTGTGGCGTGCCAGATAATAAATATTTTCAACTTTGCAGGGCACATGGTCTCTGTCACAACTATTCTATTCTTCCATTGTAGCAAAAGAGCAGCCACAGGCAGCATGTAAACAAGTGAGTCTGCCTGTGTTCACAAAAAACTTCACTTAGGAGCACTGAAATTTGAATTTCATACAATGTTCACATGTCACAAAATGTTATTATTCTTTTACTTTTTCAACTATTTTAAAACATGAAAACCATTTTAGCACACAGGCCATATGAAAACAGGGAACAGGCTAGATTTAGCCTGTGGTCCACAGTTTGCTGACCCCTGGTGTAAACTCTTACACATCTCCTGCTCTGAGAATGAGATACTCAGCTTGCAAAAAAAAAATTAGACCTTATTTTCAGGTGGTTCTCAGGAGGATTCTATGTTTGTTTCAGACCTTTAGTAATATCATCTGGGTTTATGAAAAATTCTCTGTTCTCATTCACATATTCCATGTCTGGTTAAATGCCGAGCCTTTATCACGGGTGACTAAGGGGGCTTTACTTCCTGACAACATGCACGGCAAAGTGCCAGCTTCCTGCTCCGTTCTCTCTCCTGGTAATGGTTTTCCTTTCTGCTGGATTGGGACAGGCTGCAGTTCTGCCCATCCTTGCTCTGATCCTTGCGTGATTTCTGAGAGGAGCTGATGATGCTTTGGCAGGAAGCATCACTTCTTGATGGGCATCCAAGTTGAAGATGGAACCTTCCCCTTGGGCAGGAACATGGGCACCGTTACCACCTCTGATTGGAGCAGTTAGTGGTTTCTTTTGCAATCTTTTCAATCCTCCCACCCTCATCAGCCATAGAGCACTTGTTAAGAAGTGATACCCAATACTGAAAATATATCAACTTGCAGGAGAAAATGTTAACATTGAAGTAAATGGTAACTTCTTGGTTCCCACTGCCCCCTTTGCTTCTCTCTGTTCTTATCACCTTATATTTTTTTTTCTCTGGGTCTGACTCCCCTACCAGATGATAGATACCTTCCGGGCAGCAACTGTGTCTGGTTCATTTCTATCTCCAGCATCCAGTAGGATTTTTATGAATGGTTGAATGATGAAGTTTTATTCACTGCATTAACCACTGATGAAAACTGTGAACCCTACAACTATTCTGTAGTACCACTGGGAAATCTTTTTGATCCAGTATTTGAGGAGCAAGTTGTAGCTGTCTGCCCAACTGAATGAAAGCAATTTAAGTTGCTGTAATTCATTTAAAAATATTTACTGGGTTCCTACTCTGTGCTAGGTGCTGTCATTATTACCCTGGGGGCTGAATTAGTTGCAACTAAGGATCAAGGGCCCCAGAACGCCCTGGGTCCTGGGTACATGCGATCTTGGTGATGGCTGCTTTGACATCCTTGTTCCTCAGCGTGTAGATGAGAGGGTTGAGAACAGGTGTGAGAATGGCAAACACCACATTGCCCATGATGTGAAAGTCAAGGGGCAGGTCGGCTCTGTAGGCCACATAGGCGATGGCAATGGATGAGTAGTAGGTGCCCACCACCAGGAGGTGGGAGCTGCAGGTGGAGAAGGCTTTGGACCGTCCTTCTCGGGAGCTGATGTGAAGCACTGAGGCCAGGATGCGGGCGTAGGAGAGGAGCACCAGGAGAAGGGGGAGGAAGGACACCACCATGGCGATGCAGAAGCCCATGAAGGTCTGGGCGGTGGTGTCAGAGCAAGAGGCCTGGACCACAGCCAGGTGGTCACAGAAGCAGTGGTAGACCTGGGCCACAGGACCAAATGCCATCTGGGAGGTCTGTACCACTGCTGGGATGGGCAGGAGGAGGGCGGTGAGCCAGGCACTGGCCGCCAGCATTGCATTGGTCTGTGGGGTCATGAGGACAGGGTAGTGCAGTGGGCGGCAGATAGCCACATAGCGGTCATAGGCCATGACCACCAGGATGAAGGCTTCAGAACAGTTGAGACCATGGAACAGGTACATCTGCAGGAAGCATGCAGGGAAGCTGAGGAAGCGGTCTCCCAATAGGAATAGGGACAGCATCTTGGGGACAGTGGTTGTGGTGGAGAGGATGTCCAGGACTGAGAGATTGATCAGGAAGAAGTACATGGGCTGGTGGAGACTGGGCTCTGTCACCACAGCCACCAGGATCAGGGCATTACCCACCAGGATGAACAGGTAGATTAAGAAGAAAATCAAGAAGACGGGAAGAAAGAGGGACTTGGGCAGAGAAGGGATGCCCACCAGGTAGAAGATGGGTGAAGAGTCCTCTGATCCATTACAGGTTATGGTTTCCATAGTGGGTCAGAGTTGGATGTCTGCAAACACACACTGGGAACATCAGGACACATCTGGAAACCAGAGCAATCAATGAGACATTAACTAGAACATGCATTATCTTTTTCTTTCTAACAACTGATCTCAATCCCAACACTTTTTGTGTGGCAGGAATTTTATGCCACAATTAAGATGATTGGAACAGTGAGGTTTCTAACAGTAGTAGTTGAAAGAGCCGGTCCTGTTTGGTGGGGGAGAGAGGTGTCCCCTGACACCTCCATGGCTGTTGAAGGGAAGGAACAACACTTAGAAAGAATTGGGCCTGTGTTAGCAATGTCAGGGGCCCAGAGTTCAGCCCCACATATGGAAGAACTCTCTCACAATCAGCACTATCCCGTTATGCAAAAGTGGGCTTGAATATTAGTGAGTGCCATGTAATTAGAGGTATGCAAGGCTGGGGTCTTTTATGCTGGAATGCTACAGGGGAGATTTAGTACTTAGAAAGGAGATAGATCAAAAACCTTTAAGCAACGTTCTAACCCTAGTTCCATTGGTTCTAAAAAAGAAAAGACATATAGAAACCACATCAACAAGATTGTAATGTTGGTGGGAAAATTTAATCCATCTGAGAAAAAAAGTCTTGAGAAGTATCTATTTATGTTCAAATGCCAAATAAAAAGCCAAGTAGCTCCTTTATTAGTTTAAGCAGCTCCTTTAAGGATATCTGACTTTTTTTAGCCTAGTTCCTGAAACCACAGGTGAAGGGACATTCTAGGTATGGTAATGTTGATGGCCCACTTACCAGATTTTGCCTACTGTGAGCACCAGAATCTTGACTACAGTCATTTGACTTAAGTCCATCCAGTACAGATGTGTCTACACAACAGTTCCTGAGTGGGGCTCTTTAACGTGGCCCTTGTGAAGACAGACAGCAGAATCACCGACCGAGGGTGAGTGAAGCCAAACCCTGGAGTGAAAACTATGTAGTCACTCTGCTTCCCATGGTTCTAATCATGAACCTCTGAGCCTAGAGGATTGTCAACGGCCTCTGTTAAAGACTCCTAGCTCATGAGCTCCTCTCTGGGATCGCTGAAAGAACTGCTTCCGTTCTGCTCTGGATCCACTTCCTTTCTTCCTACAGCCTGCCCCGTTCTCATCTCACTCCACCTGGCTGTTATGCCTGAATCAGTGCCTTCTGTCTTTCGACATTTCCATTCGCTTGAGAATTCCCTTTCTGTGACATCTTTCTCTGTAGCTGCTTCCTCCAAGGAGCACTGCAGAATGCTGTCTGCTTACCAGAAAGGAATGGCTTCCCTTTCTGCGTGCCTGTGCCGGGGCTCCCTCTGTCCATCTCACCTACCCTGCGTGCCCTGTGACCTGTCTTAACATCCTATCTCTTTGTCATATCACAGTGACTGACCATCCTCATCTGCCCAGAACTGTCCTGGTTTTAGCACTGGAAGTCCCAGGTCCTGGGAAACCCCTCAGTTTCCTAGATTGTTGGTCGCCTTGAGCTGGCAGAGACAATGTATATGCCTTTGATAGTAGGAATTATTTACCAAATGGAATCCAAGTTGAAAATGATATTCTGAAATTTTAAAAAAAGGAAAATAAAAAAATTTAAAAAAAAAGAAGAAAGAAAATGAATTCTACCCCATTAAGAAAAGACAGACCCCAGGGTGCTTCCAGGGCACTCTGTGTCTTCCCTCCTCCCGGTTGCCATAGGTCAGCAGGCGTCACCGTTGGCCATTTCATGCTCGCTGCCTGGGAGCCTTCCTTCCTTGGCCTCAGTTCAGAGGGTGCCATAGAGAACTGAAAAGTCTTAGAATCAGTGTCATGAGAGAGGACCAAGTGCTGCAGAGGTTAACTCCCCTCCCTGGAGGCTTTTGAAGAAGGTTACGGGGCTTTCAGGCAGCCCCGAGACCCCTGAAGTGAGACCTTTCAATCCACAGAACTGAGCCCAGGGAAGATACCGACCTCACCTTGGGCTTGTCCCACTAGCTGAGCCACCCAGGGCCAGGTCTGCTGACGCCTGCATCACTGCCTCTTCCACCTAGGGATGCCTTGACCACTTCCACTTGGTTTTCCCAAAGCCACCTCCAGCTGGTCTCTCTGCTAACAAAATCTTTCTCATGTCACAGAATATTTAAGAGTGGAAATGGCCCTGCAGATAGTTGTGTCCCTGTCTTTTCTTCCCAGGTGAAGAAATCTGGCTGCGGCAGGGCTGGGGTGGGGGATCAGCCCCGTGTCAAAGCAAGTCAGTGTCAGGGTTTGTCCTGGAAACCAGTCCCCATGGCTCTGGCCTGGGCTCATCCCACCCGGGCCACCTGGGGAACTCGGAAGCTCTGGTTTCCACCTGGGAAAAAAATTAGGCCAAAGGTTTTATTTTCCTCTCTGTTTCTTAAGCTGATGTCAGAGACAACTATAAATTTCCATTTTGTTTTGAGGATCTTCTTTTAAAGAGTTTCAGATATCCTGGTGACTAAACGGAGACTCTAAATGTTAAAAAAAAATACTGTTTTCAAGAAATGACTTAAGGAAGAGAAAGACTGGGTACATCTTTTGAAAAAAGCTCCTGACAGCCAGGCCCCACATCCTGAGCATAAATGTTGTCTACCTGGCAGAAACAGGCTCATGATAAACCCCCAATAAATGTTTTTGAACAAATGAATGAATGAATGAATGAATGAATTGCATGAGTCAAGCTGAACTTTTTTTCATGATGGACCAGTTGGTAGGAATTTTTACTCTTTTATTTTCACACCTAAATTGATACAAACAGCATTTCCCTGAAAGTTGCTACAATTCTGAGAGGTTGTTTCCAACCCTGCCTGGGACCTGGGAAGGCTGGAGGTGCCAGGTTGGCTGGGCAGTCACGGAATGTCAGCATGGGAGGATCCCGAGAAGCAAGCCATGTCGTCCGGTCACCAATTTTCAAAAAAAAAAAAGCTCAGAGAGGGGAGTGACTTGGTCAAGGTCACACAGAGTCGGTGGCAGAGCTCTGCCAGAAGCCAGATGCCTGCCCCCTGCCCTGGCTCCTATGGGTCTGCCATAGCACAGTCCCTGGAGCTTGCCTGTCCGGCAGCCCAGGGAATTCTGGGAGTTGCCCACATGTGCATCAGTTTCCCTCACCAGCCTGGGGGTTCCTTGGGGAATTTGTTCTGCCCTCTCCACTATAAAACCAGCATGGCAGAGAGGCAGGGATCGTGGCTGTCCTGACAACCTCAGGGCTGTCTCTCCCGTGCTGCTACAGAATCAGGTGACATTGGGCTCCAGAGAGAGCTTCTGGCCCAGCTTCTCTGCTGTTGCTGATAGGAACAAGCAGGCCCAGAGAGGGCTCCAACCTGACCAAAGTCACACAGAGGGCAAATCAGCAGCAGGGCCAGCCAGCCCGGAATGCTATCACCTAGACAGAGTTGGGCCCAGCTCTCTTCTCTTAGAGCCCCTCTCATAGCTGGGTGAGGGGCCCTAATTTCCTGCCTCCCAAAACCCTGTCCTCCCAGACCCTGGCCCCTCCTTGGGCTATGAGTGGCTCTGGGCTTCTCGCCTCCATGCCCAAGACTTCTGCAGGTCGGCCCAGCTTACCTGCCCCATCCAGGTCATGCCAACTGCTCCTTCCTCTCCCCAAGCCAATGCTGCCTCAATGGCAAGGACCAGGTTGGGCTGAGCCCAGTTGCCTTAAACCCCTAAGCTCTACCCCTTCCTAAGCTTCTGGGGCCTGAACTCCCAGAGGCCTCTGTGTACTGGGGCCCTGAGTGACATGATCCTGGGGACTCCCAGGTGAGCTTTGCTGACACATAGAACAACAAGATTAATAGTCCCCACTGGGACACAGGGGGCCTTCCCACCTGTTGAGCAATGACCGCTATTCCCGTGTGACAGATGAGGAAACCAAGGCCCCAAGTCACACAGCAATCCAAGGACAAGGCAGGATATGAAGTCTCAGATTTGCTAACTTTCACACCAGGCTCTGCACCAACCAATGACACAAATGAGTAAGTTTGTGAAAACTCTCGAGGTATAATAAATGTAAAGTTCTTGTGCTATTGGCAGGGGGGACCCTTTGAGTGCATTGAAACTGGAGGAACAAGTGTGACAGAGCAGAGAACCACTGTCTCCCAAGTCTTCATTCTCCCTTGCTCACTTGCCTGCTCTCACGCTCTTGCCTTCCCTTGTTCCCTCTCGCTCCTTCTTAGATGCCCTATAATTCTAAGTCCAGCCTCCTGCAGGTAGCCTTCGTGACTCCATCTTCCTCTAGCCCCAGGTGCTCCTTCTCTCCCCTGGACTGGCCAGGCCTGGCTGCCACTGCTGTCATTCGAAAGATTCATGTGTCTGAAGCTCATCCATTATTTCTCATTAACTGAAGCTGTTTTGTGCTGGGCGCATGGGCACAGTGAACTGACACAGTCTAGTGGGGTAGCCAAACAACTGGCCATGATATCCACCGTGGTCTGTGCTGCCATAGACTTGAAGGGCCCAGAGGAGGAAACGCGGCAGGCTTGCATGTGGAGGACGTCTGTCAGGTGGGTCATGAATTACAGGCAGAGGAGAAGCATGCAGGCCAATAAGGAAGGGTAAACAAAGTCAAGAAGGGATGAAAAAGCAGGAGATGTGATAGAGGGCCTGATGGAAGCTTGTTTGGGGTGCAGTACAGAGGGGAGACTGGGAGGCTAAAGGAGGAGGGGTGAGAGGGGCCAGAGGGAGAAGAGTCTCTAATTCCAGGCCAAGGAATAAGAACTCAGCATGAGGACATGGGAAAGCCAGAACCAGCCTTCAGACAGGTGACGAACACAGCTCCGTGTATCAGAAAGATCATCCCTGCTGCAGAAAGGAGGATGGATTAGGGTGGGAGAGACCAGAGGCAGGGCGGCAAGGAGAGGAACAGGGAGGAGTATTAATGATAAAGGTAACAGGCGACGGCCACTCCCTTTACTGAGTGTTCACCTGTGCTAATGACTGTGCCCCGGTAGTCACACACTTCATTTCATTTCATCCAACTGGTAATTTTTATTACCTTTGTTATATAGATGAGTAAGCTCAGAGAGGTTGAGAAACTAAGTCTGCTTTGGTCCTTCCTCTGGGCCAACAGCGAGTCAGTGTTAGAGTCAATCCATCTCCAAATCCCATGCCTTTTAGCTATCAAGGATTAGGGGAATCTTCAAGAGGTGGAAGTGCCAGAATTTGATAACTGATTATAGAAGAGCCCTAGATGATGCCCAGTATTCTGGTGTGGGTGACAAGACAGATGGTGGTGACATTGACTGAGGTGGAAAACACAGTGGTGGGTAGTGGGCAGTGCAGGTGGGAAGAAGGTTTTGGAGGAAGACAGTTGAGTTCAGTGT